AACTAGTATAGGTGCCACAATACTTCATATTACACGTAAAAAAAAAACTTTTAATTATTTTATTATGGCCAGAAATAAAATATGGATAAGATCTAAGAACCATGTTATTAATAAATAATATCTTTTCACGAAATCTTTCTACGCTTCAATTATGTTGGCATTCAAAATAGAAAAATTAAAGACTTATGCCACCAAGGTGCTTAATATTAGGTACTTCAATTATCTTTTAAAAGACCAATGAATTTTCTACATATTTCACGAAATAATATTTTTAAGACGAATTGGTCTCGCCAAGGTGCTTATGGGCAATCGTCTCCTAATATGCCAACAGTTTCTTCTTGCAGTAGAAACACTCCAAACTTCAAGGTATCAATGAACTCAAAAATGGATTTTCACTCTGAATGATTTTGTTGCAAGAAAACCAAAGATTTTAGAATGTTTTAATGCAAACGAATCAAAGCATATCAAATAGAATGAATTTTGACCACCAAGGGAGTCTAATTTATAGAGGTTGAGGGGTTGTGGCCAGAAAGGCATGCCCCAAAATTCAACAGATTTCACAAAGAGACACAACCCTCCAGATTGCTCGTTGACTGCCCACTTCATCTCTCGAACGTCTTTTAGAGAGTTGGCCGCTCGAGCGGCCAAGTTATATGGCCAATTTCATTTTTTCCAACCTAACTTTGGACATGAATTTCTCATTCATCCAAAATTAATTTTGTGAATCCAAATATATCACGATCATCTACTAGATAGCATAACAAGTTAGTCTATTCATACGTGTGATCGCTTAAATACATGAAATTATTAAAAAATAATGTAGAATATCATGAAATATTTTAGAATTGTTTGGTTGAAAAGATTTGTCTTTTCTTATGAAAGATCATGACTTTTGGCATTGTTACTTTTCAATAGATGTGTCTCTTCAAATATAGAGCTAATTTCAATAGTCGTGTCTCTTCTATGGGTTGTATCTTTTGATACATAACTTTCAACAAATATATATAGATCTCATTTGTTTGGATTTTTATTCATCATATTTTATTCTTGCATAATTACATTAACACATATTCATTTCAAAATAATTTTGCATTTATTTTGAATCGAGTTTCTTATGAAGAGAGTTCAAAAACATTAGTAAGTTTGCTGGTCTATGTAATTTGGAGTGCTCATATTACAGGCCGTGGTCATTGTATATTGGGAGGCAAGTACAAAAAATTGCTAGCACCCGTGCGGAGCATTATCGTCTTAAGGAGAAATAGTTGAACTCTTACCTCGACCAAATTCATATTTATACATTTCTCGTTTCTAATTATGTATTCGACTTTGTTAGAATTAGGTTATGACCTGAATTCTACTTTGAAGATAATTTGGAGTTTTAATTAAAGTCGACTTAAGAAGAAATTCTTTTGGAATGCTACTTTAGAATTCTATAGGAAGTCTATTAGGCAAATTCTAGTTGAAATTCTATTTGAAAGCCTAATTGACAGTTAGAAATTTGTATTGGATTTGAAAAGGTCAAAATATAGACAAGAAAGCTTTTGGGGAGCAAAAGAGTCAAGGAAATCAAATTTAACTCGAAACACTGCGTCTTAATTCCAACGGCAGCACCTCAGCATCGCCCACCTGTCGCTCGCCTATCGTTTAAGCGGTGGGCTTATCTGGGTCTAGTTTGATTTCCTTTTTTATGGGAATTATTGTATTTTAGATTAAGTTAGAGAAATCATAAACATAAAATCTTTGTATTCTTTCTCCATGTTATAATAAAGTCTCAATTCTCTGCAAATTATATTGTTCTCGTGTTTTCTTCAACAAATTGAAATTATCTAAAATTATTTTCGTTTTCAACAGGTTTTAGTAAGTCTAAATTATGTCCGGTTTTTTGCACGTAAAAAGTATGTTATTGGAATATAATCTATGCACGTCAATTTTTCCCCACACACGTGACTTGAAACTTACTGTGGGTTCGACTCGAGTATTGGTATTTGTTCTTTTAACTTCATCAGATTCTGTTTCGCAGAAGTAACAATTTTTTTTTTTAAATTTTTTTGCAATTTTGCAGTGGAGCAACCTTTTTTGTCTTCTCCCAAAGCTTTCGCAGAAGATTGTCAAGTTGAAGCAGTTCAATGAAGTCCAAACTGATTCTTGCTGCAATTTATACTAAAGATTGGTGCCCAATAGATATAATTATGATAAGGTGGAAGCCTCGTGCATATTCACAAGAAGATTTGGTGATTACAATCGAAACCATCAGTACAAAACACAACAGCTTTCTATGCTTGATTAATCTATTTGCATACTGATAAAGAATTGCATATGAACAATTAATTGTTTTCATCTAGTATTTGAAGTTACTATGACTTTTTAAATTTTAGACTGTAAACGCCTAAACCCATGAAGATAGAAAAAGAAATGAAATTTCCAGTGGAGCCTGATGTCAGCTTCAAACAACATTGCTGACAAATTATTCATCGATCCATTTACTATAAAATGATGCTTTTGATTAATTAATGTGTCCTCGATCGTAACATCTTTGTCCCTTTAATCCATATCCCTTTTGCAGTTGGATGTTTATAGCAGAAAAAAAAATTGGTACTACTCTACAAGTTGCGTACGAGGATATATACTATCTTAAAATATTTGAATCTTTGTAGGACTTGAGGAGGTTGTTTTTGCTGGATTACAGCTTTTACCAGTGATGAAACCTTAGTGGATAGATATAAATATTATTATAAGACGTCGATTTCATCAAGACAATCATGGTATTATAAATATAACTATTAACATATTCGTAAACCTTAAAAGTTAAGATTTTTTTTTTTATTGATATTCTGAACTATATAGTTTCAAGTCTTAATCTTGTGAAAGACTAATTTACCTACTTACATAATACATTTGATTTTGCAATTTTTGAATGACACGACGATCTCCAATAAAGAAATAACAGTAAATTTACAAAGAGAATGGCACTTTTGAAGCATAATGATATGCTTTAATTATTAATTTTTTTACCATTTTATGGTAAAAAATTACGAAGTAGTCGACCACTATCACTTTTCTTTACCCTTTTCAACCTCATTCCCATTTGATCTATAATTTGCATTTAAAATAATAAGTTCTTTACCTTTTTATCCGTTTGGTATGATGAACTTAAGCTGTATAAATGCCACAACACTTCAGATTACACTCACATTAAAAACCTTTTTATTATTTTATTATGTTTGATTACTTAATCGAAATGATTGTTATAGGCCAGAGGCAATAAATGGATAAGATCAAAGAACTATCCTTTTATTGCTTTTTTTTCTTTTCTTTTCTTTTTTTACATATTTCCACGCTATTGCCTCTTAATTAGTATCGATTATAGCATGACAAAGTCAACAATGTTTATCTAAAATAGGTTAAATGGTAATAAATAAATGGAAATTAAATACATTTTAATTTGATATGTTGTCTTAAAATTTAAGAGAGATGTATGTTAATCTAGAAGACTTTGACACGATTGTGTTTTTAAAAGACTTCTTAAGAGTATATCCAGTAGAATCATATATACAATCCAACATAAACATGCACGCATGCACGCACGTGTACACACATATGAATGATTTAACAAAAGCATCGGTACTCATCTTATGCTAAACACCGATGACATGTCATATTAATTTATTGGCGAATAACAAATTTATTCAAATGTTAAGAACCACAAAATCCTTATTTACCAATGAATTAATATGACATGTCAAACATAAACATGCAATCAAACATAAACATGCATGCATGCACGCACGTGCACACACATATGAATGATCTAACAAAGCATCGATACTCATCTTATGCTAAACACTGATGACGTGTCATATTAATTTATTGGCGAATAACAAATTTATTCAAATGTTAAGACCCACAAAATCTTTATTTACCAATGAATTAATATGATACAACATCGACGCTCAACATAAGATGAGTACCGATACTCATTAGATCATTCCTCATAAAAATATATGAGCATATTTAATAAATTTTCTACATATTTCTCTCAATTTTTTAATTCTATAATTAAGTTACTCGTAATGTTGGTTAGAAAGAAATGAACACCATTAGAACTGAAAAGATAGCACAAATACAAATTTAGGAAGGGAATGTGTGACGTGGCATCCCATCAATGAAAATGTAAAGATTTACACTTGGAGCTAAAAATAATCGGACAACCTCAGTATGACAATATGCTTTGCATATTGACAAAATTTATAATGTTATATATTGAAAATTTAATTAGTTTTTAAGATTGAGAGATAAAAGAGTAAAAAATTCAGTTTTATAAATGAGTAATAATGCAACATGTACAATAATAAACCCTGAAATATGCAGCTATGGTTAAACAAACAGTTAAAAACTTCGTAAAATTTTAATTTAATTGAAATTGAAGTAGACCCCATTGACTTATTGTACAAATGTGAAAACACAATATATGCCCTCAAGAACAACCATTATTATTTCTGAAACGACGTAGACAAGATGCAGGTATCCAAAAAGAATCTAGTTAATTACTTTTAATAAATAAACTTAATTACAAGTAATTTTATCTTAGCCAAACATGGACTTTAAAGGTTGAGAATCAACTTAATGAAAACCAAAGTCTGAAAGAAATTAAGGTTGCAGATGCAATCCAAGAAACTGAGCTTGTTTGGTTGACAAAATGAATTTTTTGACTATTGATGTGAATGTCTAAACCCTTCATGAAATATAATTAATTACAGTTTTTCTCTTTTTCAGAACTGATGTTGTTTATTAATGAAATGTTCTACGTATAAATGATAAGGGTGCTAAATAAGTAACGTTTGACCTAGTAAGTACGTCTGTGTGTACTTACTAGTAATTTTATAATTAAAATTAAAAACTAAAGAAGTACAAACTATTTTGCAAAACTTGAACGGACCCTGAGTACTACATAGGTCTGTCCATGGTTACTACAAATGCAAAACTCTCATTAATTCCCATTATCAGATGACTTTGATTGCATTAGAATGCAGGCCTGCAATGTTTTCAAACAAATCGAAGGTAAGCATGGAAGCACTTGGCTTTCGCAGCCGTTGTAAGCCGGGATCCAAGGTCAAGGTTGCTGGTGCCGCGGCTGCCTCAACCTGAGGCGTGCCAAGCCACTTAGCTTGCATGTACTTGTGCTTCCTCCATGGTGCCATATGCATCTTTCTCTCCTTCATGCATTTCTTGGACGCTGAACACAATATCTTTATTAGACTTCGAAGCCTTTCAATTTTTCCAACGAATATCTCCGGCAATCTTTTGATTAGCCGATTGTATTCTTCGCTGGATCGACTTATCTGAAATTCTGCGCGAAAGTTCAATTCGATAATCACTTTCACCTCTTCTTTCTTGGAAGGATTTTGGACTTCCAGATAGATGTGTTCACCTGGAAAATATATATAAAACTTGCTTAACTTGGATTCTGTTTAATTTTAGTACTCGAGTGACACTAAAATGGATATGATTTTAGTTACCTGCAGGGATTTCAAGCGAACTTCTCCACTTGGACTTACATATAACACAGTTAAACCCTGCAGTTTGAAGATGATCACGGATTTCTTTCTGTCTACAGCTCCGGCAACCACCTGCTATCATTTTCCGGCAAGAACAACTTACACCAACGGATTCTAACTCCCTCAAGGCATCCTTCGTGGCCTGCCTAATTTTTGACTCGAGGGCTGTAGTTCTATATAAAGTTGCCTGGCAATGAAAACAATCACGTACAAATTAGAATTATGCTGGAAGGATTTGTTTATACGACTAGACATGTTTAAGAAAGAGAAACACGTGACAAATATGTCATGCGACAAAATGAAATAATATTTATCGGGTTTATGTGGAATTTTTACCTGTAGAAGCTCTTCTTGTGATTCCCAGAAAGCCTTGCTTTCCTCGGATTTGCTAGTATTCTCCTCCTCATCCTCTTCATCAATAGTTTCAACATTAGACTCAAAAGAACTTACTGAAAACTCATCTTCCTCCAAAAACCCAAAAATCATGTCGGGAACTTCATCAGAGTATGTCAATTTTTTATCTAAATTGGGATTTTCCATGGAAGCTTCACCCATTACCCTACCAAACTACTATATATTGATTAGGCCTTGCCTCCAACTTGATTATAAGTTCCCGATTTTAGGGTCTTTATATAGTGGTGTGTAGTGGGCCTAGCTATCCAAGGTGGACGAACTGGGAGCCATGGACATGGCCATCCTTTTCAGCTAATCTGGCAGATTATCATTAGAGGATTATCAACTAAAGAACTTTATCACGTGGCAAATGTTGAGATTATCTGAACAGCTCAGCCTATCTAGCCCATGTTTGAGCCACATTAAAATTTTCATTCTCATTCTTCTACTAATTATCAACTACACATTCTTCAATAAAATAGTATTTTTTATCGTATCAATAATTTTTCCTTCTTTTTCAACCATACATTCTCCACCAATGTACTATTCCAAAATACATTCTTCCAAAATAATGTGGCTCAAACACACCCTTAATTGTTGAAAGTTTTGCTTTTAAAATTCATTTTCAATCACACTTTTTACAAAATTTACAATTATTATCAGCTTTTCAATCACACTTTTCATTAATTTTTATCAAAATCTAATAAAAAAATAATTTTTAGTTAAACCAAACATAGACTAATTGTGTTGACTTCGAAATCAACATTGAGTCTTGACATGTACATCTTCTTGGCCAATAAAAAAGAGAAAACTTCAGTGATAAGTTACATATTATATATTTTATTTTAGATTAAAAAAAGATAAGAAATTTTTATTAGATAATTTATTTCATTTACATTTTTTGTTACAATCATCCACAATAATAGTGAAAGGTATAGACATTATGTACTAATTACCCTTTTAATAATTTATTTGGGACTCGTTTTCACTTTTTTTAAAAAAATTGAGACTGTGATTACAATTAATTCTTTTTTTTTTTTGCTTTATTTAAATATAATGATATATTCGTCAATTCACATCTTATAATTCAGAAAATAAACGAAAATGACCTGCATTATGAAAGAAGGAAATAATGGTGAAAATACCAAAAAATAAAAGGTAATGATGTTTTTCAAAATAATAATGAAATGTAAGGATGTTATGTGCTAATTACTCAAAATAAAAACAAGAACACAAAATTTACATGGAAACTCAAGAAAGAAAAAATCACGGACAAATGAGGAGAAAATTTATTATATCAAAGATAAGTACAAGATATCGGTATTTTGACAGCTACTCCAAATACAAGTACGATGAAACCCTAAAATACATCATATATATAATCATAATTTTGGTTTCACCGTTTTTGTCACACCGTGAACTTTTCAAATTAGGTCAAACATAATTCGGGTCATCACACACTAACATTTTCTTATTACTTGACCAAATATTTATAAAGTGAGAATAGGTTAGGGAGGTGAAGGAGAAGGACGCCATGCTCATGCAAGACACTCGAGAGGTGAGATTAAGTGTTGGGAATATTTTTTCCTATGAGAGAAAATGGAGAAGAAATCGAAATTAAGACCAGCAACATGATGAATCAAACTATGATCAAACTTTTATTCATCAATGGAAATAATCAAAAGAAGAAAAAGAAGAACTTATCTTTACGTTACCAAACATTGCAATTCGTCTTTTAGTAGACTTTGATCTTCCACACAAGAATTGAAGAAACTCGATGCATATGATCAAATAACTTCGAAGAATATGAAAGGCTCAAACACGTAATCGTTGTCCTCAAACGATATTTGCCCCCTCTCCAATAGGATTTCAGTGCTTAAAGGGTCTCGCAGCAAACAGTTTGAAGGATTGATCAAGCCTCTTAGAGAATTCATACTCAAGCATTTGCATGATTCTCCAAAACTTTAAAAACACGAAGGAGGAATTTTGAATAGGAAGAAGAAAGAATTGATTTCTTTTTTTGTGGAATGAATGATGATCATCACAATGATCTCAAGTGTTTTTACATGTTTTTCATAATTTGTATTGATCATCTTACAGCCTATTTATAGGCCTTGATCAATGCCTCACAAATTGGTGCCAAAACTTATGGAAGAGTTGCAAGATACCCTCCAAAAGCCGCCAAAACTAAAGCCAAAAAACTGTCCAACGGACGTTCGGCGCAGGGGCGCCTCATGGTAGCGCAGGGACGCTACTATTCTCGGGATAATGGCGCGAGGGCGCCTAGTCCTCTGTAATTCCGTTTTTCATCCCAATTTCAATTTTTGATTTTGAACAACATTTACAACATTAAGGTCGAGGAATTAATTAACCTTGCCAAGTTCAGTTACAGCAATTGTTATCGACTTGAAGAATTATCTCGCGAAAAAATGTCCGGTCTCGACTGATCAAGGAAGTTGTGATTAGAAAAAGACCATATGTCACAGGGTTTGGCCCCACCACTTGCCTAGTGCCACCCAGTTAAGGTACTGATAAAACATTTTGGTTATGTCCATAATCATAGGCAACGTTTTGTCAATATATTTATTATTAATGCTCATTGGACGAAATGAAGGATAGGGATATGGTGATGTGATAGATAATAATTGGTTGTCGTGTTTTTATATTTTTCAAATTGTTCAATCACGTGTCAACACAGTGTCCCCCATTTTTGAACATGTCTTTGAGTCTATTTGTGTAGCATAATTGTATATTTATTATTAATGATGTTCATGCCACGTTTGAACTTAAAGTTACAAGTTATCTTTTTAGATTAAGTGTAGGGGAGAGATCTCCCTACGAATATCCAAAGATATAGATCAATTTAACCTTCACTTCATGGTACAGCAAACAATAACTAATTAAATTTTATTTCTTGTACATTAACGTCAAAATTCTAATATGTCACTCCATTTTTGATGAAATTGATATTTTTTATCGATTTTTCGACAAACATATTTTAACCAATCCCATCAATACTGTGAATAAAAATTTCTTAAAGGGATAAGAAACTATGTGATTTTTGGTTATAATTATATTAGTTTGGACATTCCAGTTGTTTAAATATTGAAATTCACAGACAAACAAGATAGCCCTTCATTATTATGAATTTAAATATCGCAAGTGGATGTTTTGTTGGGACGGTTTTCGATTCTGTATGCGGCTTCGGATTTCTTCTCATTGTTTTTGTCCCTATCACAGAAGAAATTGCGTCCAAAATTCTTTCCAATGATGCGATAAGTACAGAAAATTTTGACACACGACACTTGGCAGGAATTTATTGGAAATGAAAAGAGAAAAAAGAAAATGATCCAATCATCTGCAGCCACAACAACGTCGATAGAAATTCTGTAAGAATTCCCTGAACTTGTGTCTTTTTCCAATTCTTGATGCTAACAAATTGAAAATGTCTACTGAAAAATATCTAAAATTTTATGACAATGGCCAAAATAGCCTTAAAATTTTCTGACAATGTTCATAATCCTTCTGATGTGACTAATTGTACGACTCTCACGAAAAATGAGTCAAGACACCTATGCCCCAGAAACCTTTTTTTTATGAATCATGCTATATGTATACTAAATTTTACATTATCCTTTACATTACGTCACGTGCGGCATTACATTGGATAATGCTATATTTTTTTATTTTTTTTGCTTAATTTGATTTTTAGAAGGTTTAACATGTGATTGACATAAATGCCCTCATCAAATTTGGTCAAAATCAAAATTTTTGGTCAACTAACGGTCAATTGGATGGTTTTAATTCATTTTGGACTCTAGATGAATATTTTTGAGAGGTTACGGACCTTTGTTGGTACAAATTGAAGGTTAGGGTAAAGTCTGCAAAAATCGAAAATGTTAGAACCGCTGCTGCAAATTTTCCAATTTCTAATGTACATCTAGTATTGTTGTTTTTTGATCTCCTATGAAAATTAGCACCGCTGCTCTAAAATCCATCATTCCCTCTTTTTCCGACTGTATTGATATCATTGGAGATTTGACAAATTTTGCTTCATTCGATTTCAAGCAGTCAAAGAGGTACTCATTCGAGCCTTTGTTGTTGTCTTTATCTAGTAAATTTGATGTGTATGTGAAATACAAATTTAAAAATGAATGTGCAATACAAATATTTCCAAATATGGTTTCTACAAACAAATTTTGTGAAAATATGTATGGTGCCCAATTACATGCAGAGGAATTTGAATTTTGGGTTAACGGGGAATGTCATTTCCACGGTCACATCACCTAGTGTTGTAAAGTAGGAACAATTTGAAAGGTAATGTCTACCCTCAACCACGAAAAATCTTTCGCGATTTGGTTTAGATGGCGAAGTTGAAATTCTCTAGTAAACTAGAATTATTGATCGGGATAATTAGGTGCAGCAAGCATAAAGAGGAATGGTTTATGTTCGAGGGCAAATTTGGAGAATTTTTGAGAATTGATTTCGTGAGAAGTGACTTTTTTGGAAAATGTATGATTAAAAAGTAGGAAAAAAGTTATGTGTTTTTTTAGAAAAACGTGTGGTTGAAAATGATTTTGATGAAAAATAAGTTTTCAATAATGGAGACCAAACAAAGGTTAAGTATGTGTAAGTTTCAAATTAACCGATTTATTTAAACCCAAAGTGCGGAATTACAAATTTAAAAGCAACAAATCACTTTTTAATTGTTTCAGATAGTTAATCAATCACGTTAATTTATCATGTGTTGAATTAACACAATTTGTAATATGAAAGCAATAAAAACACCAAATTGATCACGGAGAAATCCCAATTTGGTAAAAATTTCGGACACTTAATCCACTATAAATCGAAGCAAACTTACAGTACGGTCTAGACCCGTCTACCCTGTAGAATTTTTTACCTCAATTCCTATAGTCCCACTTGATCCTAATGGATGTGTATTCTTTCAAAACAAATTTCAACTCCTAATTATACTTTTAACCTTTCGGGACTGCGTGCTCCTAATGCTAGATCCAGACTTCAGGTACCTTATCTTAATCCTCTTGAATTTGTGCTTATGATGAAGAACTCATCGTTTTTCTGGTTGGTGTACGATCAAACGATCTTTGTGTGTTTTGATATGTGGTTTAATGTGAAAAATATGACTTGATCAACAAATCAATGTTTGGATAAATTTGTGGTTCAAATAATATGGTGGTTGAATTTTGAAATCAATGAATTTGTTTTGAATCTTCAAATGAATAATCACTATAGAAAAATATGATTCAACACACTTTTAGATGTCCCACAGGGTGTATATTTGTAATGGGTAGTGTTTGAAATGAAAATGAACTTAAAATCATAATCGAATATTGTTGTGCATCTGATAACCACGTCGCTCAAGTTTTAGGTATGTGAACGACAGTTGAATAGTCATCAATATTTTCATCATAACTTTCTTTCTCGATATCCGATTAAAATGATTCAAAATGTGTTGAAAATCTTACTCAAAGAGGTACAATTCTTTTAGAAATAATCTTAACCAAATTCCAATGCTTTCTATGTGAAAAAGCCATTGCAAATTGCGACTAATAATTTGAAGCATAACTTGTGCGGTTATTTGTCACTCTTCAGACTTCTAATTGCATTTCCTTGATCTTACGTGATCTTATTGGACATCTTTGACATATTGAACTCCTTCAAGACCTATGCTACTAATTCTCAACTATTTTGATTTTGATTACAACTCAATAAATTCCTAAAACAATTCAACTAGTACTTGATTTTGATTAAGAAAATTACCAATTATAAATTTGAAAATCGCTAATTATAATTTTAACCTAAGAGTATGTTTGACCAAAGGTAATTACAATTTAAATTCTCCCAGAAAACATTAAATGCCATCATCAAGTCATCAACTTAAAAATCAATTCCTCTTTGAAATTAACTATATTTTACTTTCATTTTTGACACACGGAGTTGATCAAGCTAAACTTCAAGAGGATTAATCCCTCACAAGGCAACTATACAGAAAAGTAAATTTTTGCAGGGACAAATCTCTCTTACTCTAAATGGTCCTATCCTATTTTATGATTCGAGATATGCTGGATTGGATGTCAAATGCGTCTAGTGTGGCCGTACTTTACCTGCTCTGGTCTTATCGTGCCTCAGGCGTCGAGCAGCTTCTTGTATCCGACGATCATGTTCTTTAAGCATCTGATCCATATTGTTTGACTGGACGAGTAAAGGACCAGAGAAATGTATCTTGTTCCCTCTCGAATCATGTCCATCCTAGGTAAACAGAATCGTTGTTTAGATAAACTAAAAAATCTTAGTATATCAGAACTCAAAAAGAAAAATAAAAAAGAACTAAAATATCAGCAACTAAGATTGGCATACTACAAAGAGCAATATAACACCACAAAAAAAGAAAAGAAAACACAAGCAGGTAAAAATGCACAATTTAGTATGGTTCACTCTCGATGTGGGAGATAAATCTACTGCTCAAAGAAGCATTATAGGGAGTTTACTGTTTCTCTACGATATGGAACAGCTCAACTTAATACCCTTTGTATGGAAACAAAATCTTAAGCAGCCTAATACATTTATGAACTACCCATTTATCCGAAATAAAGTCGATCAGCGGTCAAGGGGGAAGTGTGCAATATAATTAGCCTCCGCACATCCAACATAAGTGTATATATACATGGGATATACATGAATATGAGAAAGACAAAAAGAAATTTCAATATAATCAACAAATACAGTTGCTCCAAAAATAAATTATGAAAACATAAAAAGTTGCACGTAAACAGGATGTGATCAATAATTGTTTCTTACAATATAAAAGATCCTAACTATGATCTGTTGCTACTTGCTAGAGTATATTTTTAACTTCGTAATTTACGAGATTTCAAAAATGTGAATCTATTGGACTACAAAAGCACAGAATAGTTTATTGCAGTAAAACAATTTAATTTTGAGAAAAATTAGAGCTCAACTTAAACAGACATATGAAGTTTAGTTGTTTCTATTTAACAGAAAAGAAAATCTCATAGAATAAAGGCAGAAAGAAATTACTAAATATATGTCCAATTTACGCTATTGGAATGAAACTCACCGGGACAGGTTCCTTGGTACTAGCTCTTCCATTTTCCATTTGACGGGAACTAGAAGAGTAATTGTGACGTCTCCTATCCTGTTGTCTTGTGGGATATCCAAACGATTCCGAAATATTTGATTTATATCCCGGTTCTATAGATGACAGAGCCCTAGATGCCACTAAACCAGATAGTGTGGATAAATCAGCTCGGGCCGAATCAATGGAATTATCATCGTGTTTCTTCCCAGATAATGTCCACCTCATTCCTGGCACAAGTGGACCTGAATGAGAGACTTTCTCTTGTGGATTATCTAAGACATCTTTGCTAGTTTCTTTCGAACACTGTGATCGTCTAGGTGGATCAATTGGAAAACCTGAAGCAGCTTCCTCAATGTGAGGGTTAAACGCTTCACTTCGACTCTTTAGATTGGGATGGCCCTGTCTTCTCTGTAATAGAATAGGATCAATAACTAGTAAGAGCATGAGCACGTGTATGAGAAAGCAAACCATGTTTGGAAGGCTACAAGATTGTCAACCTATGTGCACATGTAGTTAACCATCTTGCCAATTGGAGGATCCAGGATTTAATCTATGTGGGGGACAAAGTTGTAAGACTTGGGTCCACCTGTGGCGGTGCACATCAAGAAATTCAGTGCCATGACTCTACCCTCAAACTGGTTTTTCCTTTTCAATACCTTAAGACTATTGGATGTTTATTTTGCCTAGAAGGATATTCATGTGGACAAGCTAAAGGTCCATTTTCAAAAATTGCAATTGATGTAAGAAGACTAGATATAACTAACTAGTCTCCCAATACTTTGTTTACAAGTATCATGTTCTTCCTCTATATTTATATGATGCGTATTTGAAAAAAAATACCAGGAAACAGGCTGAGCACAAGACGAGCATCATGGCAATGTTATGTTAGCATAATTAACAAACGGATGTTCTATTCTCATAAATGCAAACTATTGACCGCTCAGGAAGTGAAAAATGAAGAAAACTGAAAACCATCTTTGGTCTAAGAATGAAAACACATTAACCTGATGACAATAGAAGGTAGCCAAGAAAGGACAGAACCTCAAGACACAAATTGGAAAGAGAAAATTAAACAACTTATCTTCAACAATAAATACTGTTTTTTGAAAAAGACTTTAATCACCGACATAAAAGTAGTATTTTAAGACTTTTAAATTTGATTAGAGATAAATAACTTGTTAATATGTATCAAAAAGTTTAAATGTAATCTATGTACCAGGAGAAGGCCCAATAGTTTTATCATCTAAAAGTTTAGAATAATGTCAACTTCTTATGGCGTAAATCAGAAGACCCATGTCACCCATCAGCATTTCTAGTTGCCTAATAATTTTGAAATTTTTAACGACAATCATTGAATATTTGAAAGATTGAGAGAGGGTAAGATGGAAGAAGACAGAGAAACAGAAATGGCTATAAACTTTTAATCAGTTTTTCCATATACCTGCATTGACCTAGCTAACGCAGAGTTGGCATCAGGTGCTGGAACTGCTCGCATTTCTTTTGATCTTCTTGCATCACTGTCACCCCTATGGCCCCCAATTCCACGGGCTCCCTGACTGTAAAAGTTGGTTCAACAAACATTAGGCATACATTAGATATTAAGTTAAAAGAGAAACTTAGTGTGTGTTTGGGATTCTTTATAAGTTGCTGAAATTATTGTGGTGGAAACGGGCAGTAATTGTGGGTCCTATGAAATGTGTGATTAAATTAAAGTTTGACTAACTCAAATTATAAATTAAGGAAACCCCGAGATGCATAAAATGAAATAGGAATATATAAATTGGATGCCAGAAAGCATGCTAGTCAATTGACAGTGCCCCGGAAATCTAAACAGACTCTTTATAAATAACTGAATTGACTGATTTTTTTTTACAATGAATTTCGGGCTGGCTACATGAATCATAGTTCGCCACTCCAATCAATTCCTTGATAAATCTACTAGAAGCTCAATTACTTTATATGAACAATGTTACAAAAATATACCATGAAGTGCAGGGTTTGCTTTATGATATGTGAATGGAGTAAATAAATTGCAAAGATATAAGAAGAATCAAACAAGTACATGGGCAGATTGGTCATTCAAACCAGTAACTGTAAAAGCACGTACCTTCTAGCTTCCTCTTCGCGTAATTTTGCATCAATCTCTTTGCTGGGAGGGTATTTTGGCAAACTTGATGGATCACAAGCAAATGGTTTCGTCGTGAAGAACTGTTGGAGAAAATAATTATCAACAACAAATATGTCTCAACAAGGACATCAGATGGTAAGACACTACTTTTAAGATCTGGAAGAAATTTATGTTATTAAAGCTCAACACTACTTGAACAATGGAGTATTCATCCATTCAACATTGGTCAGTAAACAGAAATACACAAATTGAGGTTCTACACCTAGCCCCTCGCCATCAATAGATCTCTTCTTGCAATGTCCCAAGTAATATTTTTATGAACATTGAGTTGACTCTACTCCCATCATATGGTTTCATAATCTATATGGTTAAAACATCACCACCCATTTAGAGAATCTCTATTCTACACAAGTATAATTGCCTCCCAAGCCATAAATTTTTTTTCATCTGTACACCATATTTTTACCAATAAACGTACTAATTTAGCCTATATCTATGTCTCCTCGGAGACTTAACAGCCTCATAAGTCGAAGGCAAACGTTAAAAAACTTTATATTCTACTAATATTAAATGTGAAAAATAAGCCTAAAAGTAAAGCCAAAAATTTGCAAATTAACTTGCGGAGGCTATTACTTATCACCTTGTCAATTATCTTGGCTAAGCCTGTTAGAATTATAACAGTTTAGCTACTTCGTACAAAGAGGTGTATCATTATTCAGAAGTTTGCACCAACGTGAGACTGAGAAACACAGTGATAGTTTAATGTCCAAAACTATTGTCACTGACAAGAAACTACAAAGCATAACTCAGTATGGCCCCGTTTGATTCCATATAAAATTAAGGAAAACAGAATTTTTTCCAGAAAATTATTTTTTTACGAGTTTGAATCAGTTTAAATTCTAGAGAAGGATAAAAACCTAGTTCCCAAGAAAAGGATGAAAATCTGCAAGTAATTTCATACTTGTGAGAAAAGCAATGTAAACAATTTCCCGAAATCTTCTTGGAGTTACCAAACTTCTAGAAACCTTCCGAAAGAACAGGCATTCTCTGAGACAACTTTCAAATATTTTAGTTTTCCTATTTCAGGTTGGAGAAAGGAGGAAATATCCACAAACTTCGATGCTAAGCAATTCAACGTTCCAAGAAAATGAAGAAACCACTTCAAGAATTGCAATCACACCCTTCTAGAGAATTAAATGGATCAATAACCTATATTTTTCTTATTCTTTAGAATTTAAATCACCATCACCAGCAACCCATCATGCACGTCTTAGCATTATCACCCTATTAAATATATATATATTTTTTTTATAACTGCGAGTGTTCGAACCAACTTGCGCGCACCTCGACTAATCTCATGAGGTTATGAGGTTTACGGTTGGGTACTCACCTCAATGCCCTAATTGGACTCTGAGCTGATGTGCATTGAGGAACAAACTCAAGCCTGACCAATTGGGCAACCGCTCAAAGTTCACCATATTAAATTTTGATTGTTGTCCAAGTCAAAAAATACATTACACGTTGATTTTTTCTCCCTAAACTCACCTATAACTGCAATTTACAAAGCCACTAAATTTGTATGCCTAAATAAAAGGTCATCAAAAAATTACTTCGTATGGATGACGCGTGGCAATACCCGCGAAAATCAAAGGACTAGATTGATAGATTCATAGTCCCGAGATTAGGGATCTATAGAGATTTTGTCTTCTTTCCCACCTTCTCTAATGGAGAAGGGATCAAAGTCAAGATGGAAAGAGAGAGATCAAAGCCTTTCCTTATAAATACAATGACACATTAACGTAGCTCAACATTTTCCTTGGAACGGGGGAGAGTAAGAATGCAAGTATATCTGTGTCTCTCAACTGAAATCCATGGCAGGAGGGAGAGAGGGAGGGAGAGAGAGACTTACCTCACTATTGAGAGCAGCAGCTGCAGTTCCTCGACTTGCAGGTTCAATAGAAAGTAAGGTCTCTATTAGGCCTACAGCAGGACCAGAAATATCCTTAAACAGTTCAGCAATTCGCCGTCTGTAAGGTTGAGTAGGTTTAAATACAGTCGATTGAGGTAATTTTGATTTTCTCCAATAATCCTCGGATGGTGAACCACAAAGTTTGAAAATCTTGTGCAATTGCTCAACCTACAAAGTACAAAGAAATTTACGTAATTAATGGACTAAGGAAATATCGCACCCATAATATTGCCACATGTCATAAGCACCCAAGACCAAATGCCATATAGTGATGCCACTTCCAAGGACATTAAAGACAGGCCTGCAATTGGCAGTGTTCATTTTTAACAGAAATATCCAGCCCATGGATGAAGGCAAAAACACTTGTATATCTTCAAACCACCATCACAACAGCCAAAGTATTTTTGTTGTTAAGAAATATCATACTTTCATGGTCAAATTAAGAGTAATGCTCGCTAAAAGAAAAAAAAAATACATAACTGACTCAAAACGTGTAAGAAAAACTCATTCCATGTAATTGTTTTACTTCTTCTTCTTCATAAAAAATAATAAAAAGGAAAAAAATAAGAGAATAAATATTAATTAAATATAAAAAAACATACATATAAACATTCAGGAAAGAAAAGAGTACAGCACTTTTCAATGGCCTGGGGACATAGAGTGAGTGATATTAATTGGAAAGAGAATAAAAAACAAAAGAAAATTTTTCAAGCACTGGCAGTTGAGGACATTTGATATTTTTGAGATGGTGAAAGACAGGTTTCCATAATACCTCTGTTCTTCCAGGCATGATAGGCTTCCCTGCATATAGTTCCCCAAGGATGCAACCAGTACTCCATAAATCCACAGCAACGCCATAACGAGTTGCTCCAAATAAAAGTTCTGGTGGCCGATACCACAAGGTCACAACACGGCTAGTTAATGGAACAATTTGATGATTATCAAAATAACTTGCTAAGCCAAAATCTGCGATCTTCAAGATGCCATGATTGTCAATTAAAAGATTTGAACCCTTAATATCTCGATGCAGGACACCATTTCTATGGCAATAGTCAAGTCCACTCAACAGCTGTTTCATGTAACATTTCACCTAATATTCAGAGGTTTATATAATTAGTGCATCTAAATGACAAGTAAAAGTGAAAGGTAAATCTTTCAGAGGTTTTGGCTTTTAAATTTCAGTATGGGCACATAAACTAAATATAATTAGAAAATAGATGGTGTAAGGCATCGTCCAAGTGCATGTTATGTTCAATACGAACAACTATAAACCAAGAACAATATATCATAAATAGTACTACAAATGAAGAAGTACCTGAGCTTCAGTAAACTTTACTCCAGGAAGTGAAGCAAGTCCAGTGAGATCATGTTCCATATATTCAAAAACAAGATACAAACTAGAGGATGTTCTGGAGGTGACCAAGCCCTCTAGTTTAATTATATTAGGATGGTCAAGCCGTCGCAATAGGAGGATTTCCCTTGCCATAAACTTGACACTTTCAGGATCCATATTATCGAAGCGCACTTTTTTCAGAGCAACAACTTTGTTATTCAGGAGATCACGACCTTTGTACACGCTACTATAAGTTCCTTGACCAATCTGAAACAAAAAAATGGCATCACAGAAGTGCCAAAACCAATCATATAGCAATAAATTTGTATGGTTGCCAATCTTATGACAAGTTATAGTAACAAAGGTTATTAATGATATTTTTCTTGTATTACTATCAGTTCCGTCCATCTTGCTCATTACTATCACTCTTTTTTTCCGACATTATAACATTTTTATAGCACCAAAGAATTTTAATAATTTGAATCTCCATTCACCCCAATGCTTAAAACCATTTTTACTGAATCTAAGGTGCCTATAACACTATTTGTATGATTTCATTCATTGCTTGACCTAATTGTCACCCCTGTTAGTCCTTCATTCTTCAGAAACCGTAAGTTCGATGAATATAGTATTTCACTAAAAATGATAGGAGAAAATCTTCAATTCTGAGAATTTCATCTAATAAAAACCAAACCTACTTTAGAAACCATTGCTTCAAAACTCAAAAGGCTGAACTTTAAACCCTCAGACTCCTTTTATTATAATACGATAGTTTCTTAAAAATAACGAGAGCATCAAAACAGTAGTCACTCTGACATTTAAAAGCTGATTATTCAAATCCGTGGATGTAGTAAATAAGAGAAAGTAGAACAGTAAAACCATGAGAATAGATCAAGACACTACTAGTAATCGACAAGCCAACCAAGATCAAACCTTATCTAGTTTTTCAAAAGTATCAGCTTTGCGTGGAATCCATCCTCTGATCGCTTCACTGGCCACCATAACGAGCCAAGAAGGCCACCCTGCTGCAACCTGTTCTCCTTCTAAAGCTTTGGGAACACTTCCCATACTGGGAAAATTATTCCCAACTTCATAATTCTCATAGTGATCATCCCTCACCCTACTTGATCTGTTCCCTTTCCTGTCAATCGACCCAATTCTCACAACACAATTCTCTAACTTCTCCTTTACCCTAAAACTCACCCCCTTCTTATCAAATGACCCGATTCTCACAACACCATTCTCCAATTTCTCCTTCACCCTAAAACTCTCTTGTCTTCTGGACGAAATATTTTGAGCCAATTTTGATGCCTTTCTAATCAATTCTCTCTGCTTTGGGCTCTCCTCACTATCTTTGATAGCTGAAGAGGGTTTTCCACAAACACAACCCATAATTCACTAATAAAAATTACGGAAATAAATAAAAATCCTTCCTTTACACTTGTAATTTCATCAAAACACCCAACTTTTCACAATCCATTGAAATAAAACATCATGTAAACTGAAATTCCACGGAGAGAAAAAACAATTCGTTAAAAGAATTATTCAATACTCTCAAGCAATCAAAACTTCAAAAATTCAAATTCCCAAATAGCGTAATAAAAAACCAAGAACCCCAGCTCTGTTCAATTGCTTCGTGAACAAATAAACTCAACCTGACACTCAATTCGATTAAGAAACAGAACCCAATACTTTCAAATTGAAATCTTCAATCGAACAAAAACAAACGGAGGAATTCTTTATACTCAGATATGACTGTTTCAGCCGTTTAAACGAAACCCAGAAAAATTCTTGAACCAAAACAATACTTGGTCTAGAAAAATTTATATGAAATTATATTTGACTGTTCAACACGCTTATATATAAAAAAAATATGAAGATATACTTTTATATACTATACACAGTACATACACAATCATAGCCGGCAAACAACTCTACGGTCAAAACGTATAACAGTATCTCTCTTTCATTGGACTAGAGAGTGAAAACAAATGTACTAATGCTTTTAAGAAATTTTTTGGCAAGTGAAAATATTTTTAAATTTCCATTCAGAAAGGAATGTCGTTTTGTAACTGTTAAATTAACTTTGTCATATACGTTAACAAAATTTTAAAAAAATATGAATTTTTGCCTCAAGAAATAAAAATAAAAACTATATTTTATGGATAAAATTATTCTTGTTACAATGTTTTAAACTTCGACGATAAGTTGAAAATTCTAAAAAGTGCAATAGATAATAGGTTGAAGGACGGACAACCTCAACCATATATTTTTATCGATTTAGGTGCGTAGTTAAGAGTCGCATTAAATTATTTGACAATCTTGAAATTAATATCATTTCGTTCTTGTGGGTGTAAGAACTTCAAATGTAGAGTGGTCAACTTCCCAAGTTTTTGCAAAGTTTATTGTAAGTTTTGTTCAAAATTGGAATTGTCAAATAGTCTATAACTATCTATTCAAAACAAGAATTTGCACACCCCCAAATAGTTGTGAAAATTGCACTATTATTTTCAAAATTATATAGTTCAAGTAGCAATTCGATTCCCAACCTTCTCGTTTCAAATTTGATTCACACCTTATTAAGGATTATTCGCCCCTCGTATTTTTAAATAAGAGAAAATAAATAAATAAATAATTATAAATAAATATTTATTACGCGTTTTAAAGCAAGCTAACTATATTTTTGGACAAAAACCTATTAAGGACTAGATTTGTTAGTTAATAAATGTTAAGGAGATGGGTATGATAAAAAAAAGAAAAAAAAAAGTTAAGAATATAAATATGTCAATGAATAAAGGTTAAGGGTCTTTAATGTAATTAACATGTTTTATTTGTAAAAATACATGGTGTAAAATTATTGCATTTTTTCTTTCTGTACATTACTTTATTATTTATGGTATTTTATTCTTTTTTTTTTTAAATTCCCACAGCAAATGTTGAACAAGTCTAACTGGGAAATACTTTCCTTGATTGGGGATTTCCTCTTTTTTAACCAAAGTCTAACTATTCATATGTTTTCTTTTGATTTGGTTTAGTCCTCTTTTACCATTTCTTTTTTCTTTTAATTAATTTTGATTAACATAAGACTAAGGCCTTTTTGGGCCGAATTAAAATCTGATTTTAATTTAAGTCAAAGTCAAACAATCAATATTAACCACATCTTTCATGGGTCCCACATATTTTCAACCACATATTTCAAAAACTTTCATCACAATCCACTAAAAATCTAATTTTAATCCCCACTAAACACCCTCTAAATAATAATTCTTGTGGAAACGATCATTCGAATTCACAAGTGCGCTATATTACTTTTTATGGTATCATATTAGCATACAAAACACCCATCAAGACACTTTGAAATTGAATGTTGATGCATCGGTAGCATCTAGGGATGGACATGGTCCGAGAATCGAACCAAACCCGAAATTTTCAAGTATTTAGTAAATGAAACCGTCGGGTCTAAATTTAATTATGGAACCGTTCGGTTTGGTTCAGTTCCATTCGGTTCGGTTCNTCAAAAAATATAAAATAAAAAAACATAACACTGAAACCGATAGAAACCAAGTGCTACAAATTAACAGGTTAGAATCAAGATTTGACCGAAAAAAGAATTTCATAGCTACTTAAAACGTTTTTCATTTGTCAATAGTCCCAAATTGGAATTTTTCAGATTTATAATATAATAATGTAAAAACGACAACATATTTTTCACTACATCTCGTATTCTTGATATCGACAATTTAATTCTTAATTCTATTTTGTACATATTTGACTCTCAAAATCGTCGTTAAGGACAACTGTCAAATAATCTCAAATAAAAAGCATATTCACCTAAAAAAAAAAAACTTATCAACAATCTCTAGTTTGTCTCTTAATATTGTGGACACTAGTCCAAGTTACTTATTTTAATTATAAGTGGACTCTAAATGTACCCATAATAATAAAAAATAAAATATCATTATCAAAAATTTAATATATATGTTGATATGGTTGGATGATCCCACTTTGTGCCCAAATTTGTCAAAGTTGAGATTAAAAAATTTCAAAATGGTGGGACTTTTAATTGATTGATATCTCAATGCCATGCCCACATTAATTTCAATCTAGAAATTGAGCTTGTTTTTCTTGGAGTTGAAGATTGAATTATTTGGTAGCTACTTGTGCACTCTATCATAACACATTGCATATCCACCAACTTTTTCCTTGTGGTTTATCTATGCTGTTGCAAAAATATTGATATAGCACTAATGCAATGTATGGTTTTTCTCCTTTTATAATATAAGATCCATCTGTATAGTTATCATCATTTAAATTCAAAATATCACATGCTTTCAAAGAAGCTTTTACAATTTGTGAAGGGATTTTGATTTATCAAAAAGAATAATGTATTTCAACATATATACCCTTAGGCACGACCACATATAGGTATAGATTAAAATATAGAGACGAGAAAATCTCATCGAAATAGGGCAAGGGGGCTCTAATCTTTTCAAAAACTGCAAACCAAAATCGATATTTAATAACAAATTCACCCCAATAAGTCAATCAAAAGCCCTACACTGCTAAAATATATATCATATGAACACAGAGCATATTATTTCTATTTAAATTATGTATATATTAGTCATATGATCGTTTATAGTCCATCTCGCCTCATTTTCAACAAGTTTGAATCTATTTTTTCTTTCATTTATCATTTTTTATTTTAAACAAAATAATTTAAACATTTATTTCATGAAAAGGACAAAAAAGAGATAATTGTCTAAATTTGAATGAATATTAACTTCGACTACTATTATATTCATAACATTTTTGAACTCTATCGACAAATTTTGTCGAACGAACGACTCATGTTGGTCACAATAGTTGAAGAAAGAGATGGCTAGTGGGAGGGTAAGAAATATGTGAAGGTTAGTTTGTTATGTTTGATGATGTTATATTTGTATACAAACAAAGATGATTAGGTGCTTTAATTCATTAGCGTGTTTGATTGTGTGTTGACTTTGTTCCCCAATCTATAATTATTCAAAACTACTAGAAGCTAACGTGGGACATTTGACCAAAAACATTTGAAAAGTATAATGCTAGCTGCCAATCCAAATTGACACTCTTAACTTGATTAAAAATAAAAATATTTAGAATTATTGTTTCAAAACTCTTGAAATAAAATCTTTGAAACATAACTTTCTATTTGTAGCATCAAAGTCCATTAATTTTACGTTGATCGGTAAAGTTTGAAGCGAGTCCAAGTTGATAATTCAAATATATTTTTGTCTTAACCATGTTAGTGAGAATCAGACGCCAACATTGACAAAACGAGATGTCCGTGAGCTCCCAAATCGAAAGGAAGCAATCAAATAACGAGCACCAAGCAATCTTAAAACTTGAGTGTCCCATAGGGGAAAATATCTAAGGGCATACCCTTAATTTTCCCTAGAACTAGAAATTCTTTTTTCATTTTCTAACTTTGGCCTTGTTTGATAGTAGAAAATTTCCATGGAAATTTTTTTCACTTTCTCTTACACGTGTATAGAGGTGTCAATCCGGATAGTCAGGGCCGAATCGGCCCGGTAACGGCCCGCGTAAAAAAAAAGCCCTCCCGCTACAGATTCCGGGCCTGTTTCGGGTCTGCCCATAAATTTTGGACTACAACCTAAGCCCGTCCGCTGACCCATCCGGGTCGAGCCCATGCGGGTCGCGGTTTGTTCCGATTTGGCCCCCATTATTGTATAAATAAAATTATAAAAATATATAATTTTTCATATTTATAGCAAAAAATATTTTTTTTTTTTTTTTTAAATGTAAAATAAGAATTGAAATAAATGATA